CAGGCAACTCAGGGAGAGCACAAGGAAACTGCTAGGCTATGAAGGGAGAAAATTGGAAAGGCTAAAGCCCAGCATTAGCTCATCTTGGCCATTGTGATTAAGGACAACAAAAAATATTTTTACAAATAAACTAATGGTAAGATGGGATTCACCCAAGGGTGATGAGGGAGCTGGTGGACGCGATTGCCAATATGCCTTCCACTGCCTATCAGTGGTCCTGGTCAACACAAGAGGTCCTAAATGACCAGAAATTTGCCAATGTGATGAACTAGGGAATTACAGGCCTGTCACCCCAACCACGGTGCCAGAGAAGGTTATGGAACAGATTATCTTGAGGGAGATCTCACGGCAGGACAACTGGGGGATCAGACCCAGACAGCGTGGGTTCATGAAAGGCAGGTCCTGCTTGACCAACCTCATCTCCTATGATCGAGTGACCCGCCTGGCAGATGAGGGAAAGGTTGTTGATGTGATGTATCTGGACTTCAGCAAAGCCTTCAATTACTGTCTCCCACAGTATCTTCCTTAAGAAGCTGGCATCATGTGGTTTGGACAGGTCCACTCTTTGCTGGGCAAAGAACTGGATGGAAGGCTGGGCCCAGAAAGTGGTGGTGAATGGAGTTAAATCCAGATGATGACTGGTAACGATTGGTGATCCGCAGGTGTTAGTACTGGGCCTGTCTTGATTAATTTCTTTACTGATGACCTGGATGAAGGGATTGAGTGCACTCTCAGTAAGCGTGTAGATGGTAGGAAGGCATCAGAGGGATCTGGACAGGCCAGTTCACAGGGCTGAGGCCAAGAGGATGAAATTCAGCAAGACCGAGTGCTGGGTCCTGCTCTTTGGCCACAACAACTCCAGGCAACACTACAGGCTTGGGGCAAAGTGGCTAGCAAGCTACACAGAGGAAAAGGATCTGGTGGTGTTAGTTGACATTCAGCTGAATGTGAGCCCAGGTAGCCAAGAAGGCCAATGGCATCCTGGCTTGTATCAGAAATAGTGCAGTCAGCAGGACCAGGGAGGTGATCATCCCCTGTACTCAGCTCTAGTGAGATACCTTGAATATTGTATTGAGTTTTAGGACCTCACTGCAAGAGGACGTTTTGACGTTGGAGTGTGTCCAGAGAAGGACAAAAAATCTGGTGAAGGGTCTGGAGCACAGGCCTTATGAGAAACGGCTGAGGGAACTGGGATTGTTCAGTCTGGAAAAAAAGAGGCTTGGAGGAAATCTCATAGCTCTCTACAACCAACTGAAATGAGGCTGTGGTGACAGGACATAAGGCACTGGCCTCAAGTTGTGCTATTGGAGGTTCAGGTTGGATATTAGAAAGAATTTCTTTTCCAAAAGATTGGTTAGGCACTGGAACAGGTTACCCAGGGAAGTGATGGAGTCACCATCCCTGAAGGTGTAAGGCTAGATGTAGTACCTGGGACACAGTTACTGGGCAATATTGGTTGGTAGGTGGACAGTTAGACTAGATGAACTTAGAGGTCTTTTCTAACCTTAATGATTCTATGCTTCTTCCAGATTTTCTGGGGAAGGAAAAGAAATAAAAACCTGTATGGAGCCAGGAAGACATACTGACTCCTTCCAAAAACGAACCTGAGTACTAAGGATTGGCCAAGAGATTTGGGATTTATTTGGAAATTTGGTACACCTGCAAACAGTTCCAAGAAATTATGTAATAAAGACCGAATAAAATACATGTAATACACACATACTGTATGCCTGTATATAATACATATTATCTACATATATTTCACAAATGCACGCTGCATTGTAGGCATCTGCAGATAATAACACAGAATGTATAAGCTATGCTATCACATTACTCTCATTAGCACTACTGCAAACACGCTTTTCATACTATAAGCAGAGCAATACTTACTAAAAAATAAATTAAGCTCATTGCCACATCTCCTCTGGATTAATTCACAAACTAATCTACAAATTAATTCAGGTTCATCTTCCTGCTGTCTCTTATTATTACTGAGGACTTAACATAAGTTTCTTCCTACATAAGTTACCAACTGTTACATAGAGTTCTTTTATTCTCTGGCACCAAAACGTAAAAGCTCATTACTTACATAATTTTAATCATAAAACATTTAGCAAATTATTTATGCACCTGCTGTACACTGCATTGAGCTGCATGATGAAGTGAGAAGATTTATTTTCTTGGAATATGACACTAGTTGCCAAAACAGCATTAAAAGCTTTTCATGGCAACAAGGAAAAATGCTGTCTTACTTCCCTGTGTAATGACTCGGATGGAATAAATACATGAATTTTGCCCAGTGCTTGTGGCTGCTGCACTGCAGCTCCTCACTGACTGCAGCAGATGAACCTAATGGCACGCCAAGCTTTGCACAGCTATCAGAGGCTTGCCCTCAAGATCTTAGCTCAGATCCAGTCCTTGCCATGTCTTCCTATTGCTAAACTAAGTCAATACCTGCAGCACAATATCAGACGGTGGTAATGCGCACTCACAGGATCAAAATGCAGCTTCACAATAATGGGTAACAAAGATATTTCAATTTAAATAAGTAATGGAGAAAATGCTTTCAGGCATTAATTATTGAGGAAGCCACTAGAAATCTTTGCCTATCAGAAAAAATTAACTTCTATTGCTTTCCTTTTCAAGCATACAAGCATTCTTAGTTTATTATCAGGAAGAAGTAAAAGCGAAGGGTGTAAGGTAGAGTTGTTGATAATAATATTAAATGTATTTTATAAATTAAAATGGATTGCATTCCCTTCAGAAAGCTACTGGTAAGAAGCAGAGGAAAGGCACAGGTACAAAGAAATTCCAGTATCAAGTTCCTAGAAAATTAATGACAAATCACACAAATATTTTGTAGAAAATACAGACTAAACTATATTTAGATAAAGTCTGTCATTTTCTACTCTTGGAATAAATCTTCTCATCATGAGCTTAAATATAGGAATATATTCAAATGTAGTTTAAACTCCCAATGAGGCTTTCAAGTTGTTGTTTTCAAAGGCATACAAATAATTTTAGAGGATGGGCTCATATTCCACTAGGAGAGGAATGAGAGGACCGTGCTCATCTTGTCAACATGCCTACCTATAAAATAAGTACTAGGAAAACACAAGAGGTATCAGAAGAAAGACAGTAGAGCACAAGGCAGAAAGTGTGATTCAGGAAGATGCTACAAGGCAAAGATGCTTGTTTCTCACCTTGTTACCAAGAAAACAAACGGCTGCTAAACATAACCTGTCACAAAAAAGCATGTATAAAGACAACACCCAGAGCAGGGCATCTGCTACCCAGCACTAGCAATTTTCTGATTGCCAGAGCTTTGCCTAATCACATCCTATTGCTACCATGAAGCCTTTAATTCACCCCAAATTCTTATTAAATGCAACCAGTGAACCTGTCTACCTGCTTTACTGTTATTATAGGTGCTGTAAGGAAACAAAACCACAATGTTTATGCTTTCAGGAAGAAAATATCTTTTTTCTGAAAAACAAATTTTATTATTACAAAAGATGCTACGGGAAAAGTTTATTATTACAAGCTGTCAACTCTAATAATTAGCTCAACAGAATTTAAGACGCAAAGTTTCAAGAATCTGTATCCTGAGATTAAGCTACATAATACTAGAACATCACATACTAGAATATCACTTAATACTTAACATCACTTACACACTTTCTAATCATGTCATGAAAACTGGTATATAACATAAAGCTTATTATTTACAACACTGTGTAAAAAACGTTGAAAAAAAAATCCAATCCATTTGTTTTCATTTCAGAAACATTCAAGCAACTTTCAAAGATGACACACATCCAATTGCAGGAAAGGAAGATTCCACAGGACAATGGGAAATGCCAAGGCTTCCCAACCATCTGTTTGTCAGACATCTCCTGCACTACCATCCCACATCTTTCAGAACCCATTTCTCATGCCTTCTTTAAAACCTTCCCCAGACAAACCATTTTCTTTTAATCTCACACCAAGTTCTAGTGCCTTTAGTATTACCCACCGGAAGTGTGGAATGCACACTAATCCCCACCACACAGGCAAAAAGTCTCAGGATATGAAATGCTACTTCAAGCTGCATGTGCTACATGTGAGGTTTACATTTACTTCTTTTTTCTTTAATCACATACACAGTGTCTGTATATTTCTTTTTTGTTTTTGTTTTGTTCCTATTTTTTTTCCTGCAACTGAATTAGTTATAGATTTCATGGGGCTTTCCTCCCAATTTTAATACAGCAAAGACTGAAAAACTGAAACAGTTTTACACTTCACTATTTTTAGAAGCATATTTGAATTCTTATGTGCATATTTTTGTAACTACAAGGATGAGAGAGCAGAGGAAAACATACTTTCTGATATATTTCAGCACAGCAAATGTAAGAATCTAATGCAGGGGGTGGAAAGGGCGAGGAAGGGGAGAGGAGGGAATAAACTGTACTTGAATAAAGAAACGCAAGGGAAAGAAGTAAAAGAGATGAGAATTAAAGCACCAGGCAGTACGTACAGGGGGACAAGATGTATTTACAAGGCAAAAGGGAAGGAAGAAAAGATGATGTAAAACATGGCAGAGATAACAGATTTATGAAGTAAAAAGTTTAAGGATGGTCACTTTTCAAAAAAGTAAAGGATGTATCGAGAAAAATGTGAATTGGGAAATAGAACTAAAATAAGGCAGAGGTAGGTCAGAGTGAAGGCTCACAACTAAGATTAACAGATACTTTTGTGCATTTCCATAGCAGACGTTCTGTCTCCCTAAATTTAGACAAGACAATGAGATGAGTTCTTTTACTGAATTGGCAGGGTACTTCATTTTCGATTATGTGGTTTAATAATTAAAGTTGCCTTGGCTGGTACTGTATGTCTGAAAGCCTCTACGATGTTCTGTTACCTTCACTCTGGGTGCTGTGGTTAATGGAGATACTGTTTAAGATAAGACCTTTTTTTCTACTTTCTCATTCATCTGTGCAATATTTTGCAGCAGAAACCAGTTTCGGGGTCCCTGCACTTTCTTCAGGTCCGGATCACAGCCACACAAAGAGGTAGGCCCTTCTGTTCTTCATGTTTTCTTACTAACATTTAAACAAATATTTGATATTGATGTAAGAGACACAAAAACATGCTGATGGAATAAATCCAGTTTGATGGATACTACTGAGACTGTTACTGACAGGTGTCCATCCAAATGTAGACGTACGTCTACATGAGGTTTACAGATGTCACTGTGAATTCCTTAAGAAAAAAGACAATCAGTTTATTTGTTTCTGCATTTAACTTAAACCAGTACTCTTTGTCTGTAATTGCAGAACACTAGATATCATGCTCACAGTGGACCACTGCATCCCACGCTGCTACTGCTAGCACAGGTGTATCTGGAAAGCACTGATCTGCGTCCCCAGATGTGTTATGCAGACAGCTTTTGACTACACACATTGCTACATGCTAGATCTGCATTTAAAGCTCAAGTGGGAAGCAAGCTCACAGGGTTTTACCCTGAATGCCCATCGTATTGGCCAGAGGTTAGCAGACCAACTAAGGGTTACAATTGGTAATGCCTGAATTTCAGCAGTGTTGCTACCCACAGCTTGCAGGTTTCTTAGAAAGTTTAGGTTAGTAAGCAGAGACATTTAATTTACTACTGTCTATAGCTTAACATTTGATAATAAAATATAAATTAAAGAGAAAAAAAATGATCTTCTCCCCATCTCTGAAAACCATGGCAAGCCTCAGGCTCTAGGACACACTGTCCAAACTTAAAAATCTGTTTGAAGACTTCCACTGTAAATGATCAGAAGAGTTGTCTAGGGAATTCTTTTCTTCTCCCAACGAATATGAGTTGTGATTATTCTTCTAAAGCACAAAGCCATGCTAGAACAGATCTCTCTCATAAAGTAATTAAAATTAAATTAAAATTAAAAAAAAATTGTATTCTGTAATTGAATCACTACTAATCACAAACATTACTACTAATCACAAACAGGTTTTGACTTCATTCTACATTTGCATAAAATAACAAGAAATGTTAAGACAATAAACGAATAGGCCTGCACAATCAGTCAGGCTCATCAGCAGATATGATGGTAAAATACACTAAAAATGTAATGAATGCAGGAATATTCAATTATATTATTGCCCAAAGACAGGAAAAAAAAAAGTGAGAGATCTTTTATCAGACAAGGATGCATAAGAAAATAGAAATGCAGTACTGAGAGAGCTCTTATTATTTATAAAGACATGTATAAAAACACCGGAAGCTAGAGTAGCAAGTAGGAGGAAATTATGTACAACACCTATCAGATGGATACCAAAATGCTGCGTCCAATTTTGGTCTTAAGAAGGATACAAAGGAATAAGATGTCTGAGAGGTGGGATAGTTAAAGAGGAGCTGTGCAAACTGCCTTCTGACCCCAATCTGCATGTTTCAGTGAGTTGAAAGCCGTTTTGTGCTTAGTCACTTTATTTTACCCCACTCCTCCGTGTAGCTGGGAAGAAATTACAGGACAGCGAGCATTTGAACGTTGGCTTTTCTTCCAAAGGTTGGGTTGATTCATGCACAGGTAGCATGCAGACCATACTCTCACAAGGACTGGGGACCCAGAGGAAGAACATGAAGGAATTTTCTGCACCTTTAGAAAGCAGATCTGAAGGAGAAAGTGCTGCTCCCTCTGCCCTTTGCCCTACTGGATATCAGTCTGTACAGCTTACATTAGATAATACGAAACTATGACTTCCCCATTCAAAACAAGTGACCTAGTATCTCAGCTAGAAAAGGGATGCTCTATTGTATCTCTCAATTACTCTTGCTTTTCATTCTGTACATGGTTTGACAGAGGAAACACAGTACTCCATTTCTGATAAGACACAAGGCTATAAGGATGAAATAGCCATTATTATTTACCAAACAGCTGGCAAGAGCAGTTACCAAACAGACTCTTTTAAAAGAAGAGTGACTGTCTGGCGTCAGTGAATAATTTCTAAGGAATGGGAATGGCAAGGAAGTTCCTATTTTAGCAGTGGAATCCTAGTGAAAAATAGAATTCATAGAAGATAGAGGAAAAAAAGAGGGCAAAAAATACCCAAGCACTGAGCCAAACAGCCCATTCAACTTACTGCCTGCAACTTGGCTAAGGGGAAGACAGAGCTTGCATGCATTGAGTCCCAAAAGCAGGATGCCAACCTCTGCTCCCACATCAGCCCTCAGCACACAGGCATGCAAAAAGCACTGGTAGTGCAGCCATTTGCTGCAAGTGGGCTGAATGTCAGCCGAAGGAGCGCCGAGACATGCAGGGCAACATCTCTTCCAGCTCTCAGGCACCAATGGTTGCACAGAAAGGTTTTAGGGAACTGATGTTGCTGTGTAAAACATTATATTATTAGTAGCATCACTAAACTTCACTATGCCCAGCTCCTAGGTCAGGCTTCAACAATGAGGGTAGAGCTGAATCTGTTTGCTTTCTGACCTTTTTTTTCACACTTTATAACTGTGCCCACTGACTAAAAAAAGCTTAAAATCAATTTAAATGTGGTCAAAGGAGCTTAGAATATAAGGTGACTCTTTAACTCCAGATTTAAAAAACACAAACCAAAACCAAACCCACTATATGCTGCAGAATAAAAACCTGATATACTGCTGTAACCACATGAAAAAATACAATCCTGACTGCTGCAAAAACACTATTTCTATCTGACTAGCTTCCTGGCACAATCAAAGCTTTCTACCAACGTATTGCCAGAGAAAACTCTTGAAGCTCCATTGTAACAGACAAGCTCAAGTCAGGAAAAGAGAAATAATTATAACAATTATGGCAGCAGATTAAAAACTCTTCTGTGGAGCAGAATTACATTAAAAAAAAAAAAAAAAACAAACAAAAAAACAAAGACCTTGATTGAGCACTACAAAACTGGGACCAAATATCTTTAATTCACAGCAGAAACCCCCTCACCGCCACAGGAAACCTGCCCCTGCTGAAGTGTTTAGAGAAAAGTTATTTAGGTTGCATAGAACTGCAGCGATAAGCACTGCTTTGTTGGAAAAGATGATACCGATCATTTCCTGGATAACATTCCACTCTACCCTTTTATTCTGTGTTGTATCACTGTTAATTCATACCCAGTAAGGGAAAAAGCCTGAAAAGGTCCAAAATCAACACACTGAAAGCGGAATAAAATGGCCACTACATCTTAAAGTTACTGTTCAGAAGGTTCACTCTCCATCACTGGAATGGAAAATTACTTATTTTAGACAAATCTCTTCATTCTGCAGAACTTGAACTTGTCACAAAGGCAGCAGAAACCTGTTGTGTGAGCAGACCAGGATTCCCAGAATATTATTTTGCTTCCTTGGATCAACTTGTGTATGTTTAAATATCATCCAGACTAAACATTATCATATTAACAGTAACTAATAGCAGCCCTTTTCAACTTAAAAATAGACAACCCAAATTAGCAAACTTCACATGTAAGAATAAAAGATCCAGGAAAATCTTCCTACATTGCAGACCATCCTGCTGGAAAACTACTAGTGTGGTTCCTTGTCCTAGAAGGATCTCTAAACAACTACATACTGAAGGGAAAATCAATTACAGCTCAGTCTGTCCACAAGAAATCAATCCTTCTACCTAACAACCAGCCCAGCTATCTTCAGTTTGGAAAAAGTGCCTAGGTCAGGGTAAGTAACAGGTAACTTCCAACTTCTACATCACATGCAGAATCCTACAGTCATGCAATGCACACGAGCACTCAGCAGGTCAGACACCGGCCTGAAGAAAACAGTCTGATTTTCAGGGAGACCACTGCTGGTTGCCAGGAAGTGTCCCCTTGATTCTGGCTTTGAACCCTTGACCCTGAGCTAACAGGAGATTTTTTCACTTCACCCACCAGAAGTCGGGAAAAAAAAAACCCGAACATCCTGATACAGAGAAAAACTGCCCAATTTCCTGGAAGTAATTCCTTCCCAAAATTGTGTTCTAGATCTTAACAGCTGGTCTGCTCTCTAAGCTCACACATAGTGCACCTGTCTCATTAAAACATGTTATTTTAATTAAGTTTCCTATGGCTACAAAGTTGAACAAGTGTATCATACTCCACAAGTAGAAGTTAACTTTGCCATCATATCTAGTGGCTTGGCCTACTACATTGTCTCTGCCCACCCTTGCTGTGTTGTGATTTATAGGAAGGGCAGTAAAGAGCAAAACCCTGTCCCTGTCTGGAATACATCTAGCACTCCAGGTCCCAGTCTAATAAGAGACTTTGTATACTATCAAACAAAAAGTAAAGCCACCTCAGTGCTCAAATTACATGATGGCCATAAAGGACATGTGACAATGCTGTTTACCAACAACGGTTCTGCAGAGAACATCAGGCACTGACTGACTTCTGCATTAAGAGCTTTGATTTCAAATGGGGGTTGTGGATGCCCCATCCCTGGAGGCATTCAAGGCCAGGCTGGATGTGGCTCTGGGCAGCCTGGTCTGGTGGTTGGCAACCCTGCACATAGCAGAGGGTTGGAACTGGATGAGCATTGTCGTCCTTTTCAAGCCAGGCCATTCTGTGATTCTATAAATAAATTCATCTGAGTGAGATCACTTCTACATCCCTGGACTGAAACAAGAAAGATTGAATAGCAGCTCATGTAACCAGCTGTGACTTGAAATCATGGACATCCACATGTCCCACAGCACCAAGGAACCACTGCTGTCCATGAAATGAAAAATGACCTTTAAAGCAGACTTCCAGGTCTGAGATTTGATATAGCTTTGGCTCAAATCTGCTGCCTCATTCACAAAGAATAGTGTCTACAATATTTATTTCTAAGATTAAATACTAGCCTCATTAAAGTCACTGGAAATTTCACCAGTGGCTTCAGAACCCATGTTTTACCCAAAATGAACCAGGCAATCACCTACTCTGCAGAAAAACAGAGGTTGCTGGAATGACACTTCATGACAGTAATTCATCAGATGCTGATAAAACAGATCAAAACAGACAAAGGCTGATAAATACAAAAATGACATTAATATTTTTCTACCAAGTGATTCAGAGCATGCATGTACTTATTTCCAACAGCACTGCACACTGACTTCTTCAGTCTGCCTATCCCAAGCAGGAATGTTCCCAGCACACAGCCTCCCATCTTCTTCCAGCCCTCATTTCAGCATGAACACCATGTGTCTAGGTCTAATCCCACAGCTCTTTGTCCAGAGGCAAACAGGATCCTTTCCCAGTCATTTATGTTAATTTCAAAAGAACTTATCTGTCTCTAGGGAAACTGTGGGAAGAAGGCTGCATCATCGCACCAGCGACTCCAGCCACAGCCTCAATGCTATTGCAAAGCTGCAGAAGAAACTTTTGCCTCCGGGTTTAAGTAGTGCAAGCAATCTGCTCTGAGGAGGACAGAGGCAGGATGCTGAAGACTGTTGGAACAGATAGCGTCTCTAGACACAGGTAATTTTATTTTTTTCTAGGTGGGTTACCCTCGTAGTTCCTGCAATTGTCATCTGTGCTTAAGCAAATGTCCCCACTGCTAACTTCCTTTTGTAGTTGGCCTTCTCAAAAATATTTTAAGGGAATACTGGACAATTTTGTGACAATAAAACCAGCCATATAAAAGATATATTAACATTGAAGTTTATTCAGTGTAGTAACTACAGAACTGGCACACGCAACAAGTCCTGTTCAGGAACACATGGAGACATGGCATTGAAAAATGTTTTTTAATGAAAAGTGCTCATAAATAAAAGGCCAAGAAATAAGTTAAGCATGCTGTAATTGCATAAATATGGGAATCAAACATTCGATAGAGCATTTTTGACTCCGAAAGACACAAGTCTAACAAGACTGAACAGCTAGCTAAATCTAGACTCACAGAAAGGCCTGACATTTGTAACGGTGAGAGAAACAAAACATTCAGAGGGAAGGAATGAATGCACTCTCACTCTTCCCAAAAGCCAAAAATCAAAAACCAGAGCAAATCCCACTAATGTACCAAGCATCACTTGTGTCATTCAACACTGAAGATGCTTACACCAAGATTGGGTCTTTCTTTCCCCCATTGGCCCTGATTGTAACAGCGTTATGGCCTGCAGGGGACTGTTTTATGTGGTCATAGTGGTCCTTCTGGGCTTTCTAATCCATAATCTCATTTCTAATCACGGAACTGGACTGCTATGTGTTCTCAGTTCCATCCTCAGAAAGTCATGCGGTGTGGGATATGGTAAATGAACACACATACCAGTCACTCTTAAAGCTGGCTGGGATGAGACAGGAGGAAAGACTATTTGCGGGTGGCTTAATGAGTGTACTATATTTAACTCGTGGCATTCATCAGATGACACAGCAAGAGACACATAATAAGGATCAAACCATTAAGAATTACTGAGAAAATACAGTAATTCTACTTGTTTGGAAGGAGTAAAGATAGCTTGCTCACTCAAACCAACATAGGATGTTTCTTTTCCATTCATGGGTCTCCCCCTAAAGTCTGAGAGTGAAATATGTACTTGCTGTGTTAGGTTTAATGATATCATATTTAAGAACATACATAATTTAATGCACATCTCCATCTCCAACTGGCAAATTCTGGTGTTTGAATGTGGACAAAATTGAAAAACAAACATATTTAAGCATGGTCTCTACATTCAGCCCTGAACCAGTTCCAGCTTGCTCCAGATCACTTTCAATTCCTTCCGAAACTGCCAGAGTAGAGGTGGCCGAGTGGCTCTTCTACTTGCCTGCTTATGACTTCAGCAAGCTTCACTTGGGGCTAACTCTTCTGAAAGTTTGGGAAGATTTACGTAATAAATAATACGTCTACCTGACTGAAGAGTGCATTTCCAAAAAGAGACCCAAAAAACCCTGAATGTTTGCTCATGTTTTTCTAGTATGGCTCCAGAAAAAAAACAAAAAACAACAACAAAAAACAAAGGAACCTTTTAACAGCGTGTTTCACAGGTTACATTTTTCTAATACAATTTTTATTATGTAATTCCAAGCCTTGGGAAATTCATCTGTAATTTTTTTTTTTTTTTAACGTACTTCTCATTCTGAATATAAATGAAAACAATAAGCACTGCCGTGAAATCAACAATCTCCTACTTCTTATATGATAAGCAGACCTCTGTTTATTAAGTATCAAGCAGTCAAGTTTCATTCCGCAAGAGCTGTGTGAGTAATTACTCCAAGTTTTTCTGGAAGGCAGCACTGCAGTGCCCTGGACAGGCAGTCATTCTTCTAATCTACTGGTGTCTGTACCTCATGAGCTTATGAATGGGAGCTCCTTTACAACTAAAATGAATGAACTATGCACACAAAGAACATATCAGCCAGACAAACAACAAATAGCTCAATGAGATCTGACTGCAATATTACAGCAAAGACTTTACTAGCATGTGTGCATACTACTTAAAAATTCAAAAAGTCACATACGTTTTTAACAAGCCAAAAGCACAGCAGCTTAGCAGACGGGAATAAAAACCAAAACAAGTTTATACAGTCCCATGTCCTTTTCTGCATAACAGATTTAAGCCCCGTGCAGCTCTGTAACCAAAAATGCCCACTCTGTACTCATTCAATCTCACAGTCCCATAAACTGCAGACTTCCTTCCACTTTTACTCTTAGAAACTAAACCCCAAAACTATGCAAATCACTCCCCAAAACATATACCTGTCTCACAAAAGGAAAATGAAAACAATTAATTTTCTGTAGTTTAAATTGTACATAATTATTTTTTCTCACTTCAGTTAGCAGAAGAGTAACACATGTCTGTCTGCTTTGTGGTTAAGTTGCAATGCATCTACAAATTTAGGCAGCTCCTGCAGCAGATTTAAGACTCAAGTCCTGTTCAAGTTAAACTAGAAATTCCACAGTTTTGAAGAAACTAATAATTCCGCAAAACAGAGAAGTGCAAATGTAGCTGTTTAACCACCCTAAAAAAAAAAGAAAAAGCCTATTTAAAACAAATCCTGCTCGTTAGGAACAAAAAGGAAGTACAAATGTCACATCTGTACTACCACACTTCCTCAAGAGTGCTGTATGTGGGGAGCATGTCAACATGGAAACTATGCCGTGTCGTCAGTCCAGAGAGCTGTGGCTATCTGCAACTCCAAATGGCCCACCCTGTCACAGTGCAGGCCCTGCTGCACCCAGCTTCCTGGATGTCCAATCCAGAAAGGAATTTCTGTCACCACACTGTAGGATTTGGGAAAGGGCCTGGAGGGGGATTCCATGGTAAGGACCAAACTGTGTTTTTCCCAGGGGAAACTTGCTGTCCCTGGGTCAGAGCTTTTTCTGCCCCTCTTTCTCATAGATTTCACATTTCTGGGGTATTTAAGAGAAACTTCCATTTCACAGTCTTGCTGTTGGCCTCATTCCCCATATCTCAGCCACATCTCTTGGGTATCTATTGAAAGGTGAGCCACTGAAATTTTCTATGTAGACAGCTGGCTTAATTTTTCAGTGGAAGGAGGATTAACAGTCTCTTTCCTCTGTAATTACAAAGGAAAAGGGCCATCAAAATGCAAAACCAAAGGCCATTGCTTTATCTGGATGTCTGTGACAAGGAAATGGGGCCAAGTAGGACGTAATGCTAGTTTCCTCCTATGCCCCTCCTTGCACTGCCACTCTCAGCTCTACTACCAGCTGCAGCACCATCTTCTTTGGATGCGCAGGGCCACTGAGCCTGAAGAGTCCCTGTACTCTTCACTACTAAATCCAGAACAGGGGAGTACCATCCCACCTGAACCGAGTGTATCCAATGAACAAGGCCACAAAGACAAATTTTAAACTGATACAGTTGCCAAAACCAAATTGAAGTTACTAATTTCTCAAAGAAAACAAAGTAACTACTAAACTGTATAAAGTTGCTCAGTGCTACTTCTTCAAAACACACAATTACCTATGCCTGCAGAGGAACTACCTCAAACTCTGCGACAGCCTTCATTTCAAGCAGACAAAATTGCGGATACTGCATTTCCAAGGGATGGTTCCCACTGGCCCTGCTCTGCCCCTGAGCTCATATGCGCCTTCCCTGCTTGCCTGTGTAGCAGGGCATTACAGAGCCAGCTGTAACATTGGCTCTTTTTCCCTGTACTTACTCTGGCACTCCTGCCAGTGGCAGCCACTCCCGGCAGGTGCTCAGTGAAGTCTCAGTCCTCTCCTGCAGCCATTTCATGCCAATAGGCCTGCAAAGGTCTGTCAGAACAAGTCTCAGCCATCAGAAAGCTCCATGATGTCTGCCAGACAGGAATGCTGTCAAGTCAAACTGCCAGCTTCACTGCCATCTCAAGGCAACAATTCCACTGCTTGCTTAAAACACTGTGCATGTATGTGCTTTCTGCTTATTTGGTTTTAATGGAACTGCTTATCAAGTACTTTCACATACCCCCTTTGTTCCATATTATATAGAATACACAGCTCCAAACTAAAGCAGATTACTTTTTCCTAGATGCTGTGAAATATGTGAAAAAATGTGAAAAGTAACTAAAAAAATTCTTAACAACTGCAAGTTACATTAAAATCTGATTTCATTTATAAAAGCCTGCACTGGGCTTCAGTAGTGAGACAAGAATAAACCTGTACCCTGGTTTGTAAACTGTATGGAAGACAGAGGGAAGAAAAAGTCCCAAATGCATTTGTATCAACCAGTAACTCAAACATGAATACTGATGGAATTCTTTTTATTTTAAAAGATACAAATAGAAAATACAGTTCTCAGCCTGAATGAACAAGGCTACAATAGCACAAGACCTGACAGCAGCTAGGGAAGGGATTCACACTACCTGAAATACTACAGGCTTCCCCAAACAGCCCTTAGCATCTAACCAACAGAATTATCACCACCTGAAAATTAAGCTTTAGACATGCAGTCACAGATAGAATTACAGAAACATAGAATCACAGAGTCACCAAGGTTGGAAAAGATCTCCAAAATCATCCAGTCCAATCCAGTCCAGACCGTCTGCCTACCAGCAATATTTCCCACTAAACCATGTTCCTCAGTACAACATCTAAAGGTTTACTGAACACCTTTAGGGACAGTGACTCCACCACCTCCCTGGCCAGCCCATTTCAGCACCTGACTGCACTTTCAGAGAATCATTATTTCCTAACATCCAACCTGAATCTTCCCTCCTGCAACTTGAGTCCTACAGATCTCTAGTCCTACTGGTATTTACATGGGAGAAGAGGCTGACCCCCATCTCATTGTAGCCTCTTTTCAGGTAGCTGTGGAGAGTAGTAAGGTCTCCCCTGAACCTCTTCTTCTCAAGACTAAATAATTCCATTTCCCTCAGCCGCTCCCTTAAGGCCTGTGCTCCAGGTCCCTCGCAGCTTCATTGCCCTTCTCTGGACACCTTCCAGGGCCTCCACGTCCTTGTAGCGAGGAGCCCAAAACTGAACACAGTACTCAAGGCATGTCCTCTCTAGAGCTGAGCACTGTAATATCGAG